AAAATATTTCCATGCTTCTGCTATCTTGAGGAAAAAGAAGAGGATTGAAGCACTCAAAGATGATAATGATGAATGGGTTGATGACCCTCAGATATTGAAGACTATGGCAAGCAATTTCTTTAAAGATCTCTATACAAAGGATCTCGAAGTTCTCCCTCACTATAATTGGCCTTCTTGTTTTCCAGCTATTGAGACTAATAATTTACTCCATTTATCTAAGGAAGTAGATTGTGTGGAAATTAAAAATGCAGCATTCTCTATAGGGGCATTCAAAGCACCGGGACCAGATGGATTGCAAGCCCATTTCTTCCAATCTCATTGGAATATTATTGGTGGAAAAATCTGTAAATTGGTAAAAGAAGTGTTCCACGACCCTGTGAAAGTGAAAAGCTTGAACCAAAGTAATACAGTTCTCCTTCCTAAAGTTGATCACCCTACCTCTTTAAAGGAATTGAGACCTATCTCTTTATGCAATGTAAGTTTCAAGATTATCACTAAGATCATTGCTAACAGGATCCGACCTCTTCTCAATTCTCTTATTGGAATGGAACAATGCAGTTGTTTAGAGGGGAGGTAAGGGAGTGATAACGTGATTATTGCACGAGAAGCAATTCATACCCTGAAAAACAAGCGTACAGGCAGAAGCTATGTGGCTATTAAAATTGATATGGAAAAAGTGTATGACAGGTTAGACTGGGGTTTTATTGAAGATACTCTTCACAGTCTTGGTTTTGATAGCAATTTCGTGGCGATCATCATGCATTGCATAAATTCAGCTTCCATGAAAGTAATGTGGAATGGTGATACAACTCAAGAATTCTTTCCTTCCAGAGGTCTTAGACAAGGTGATTCATTTAGCCCTTACATCTTCGCGTTGTGTATGGAAAGACTTAGGCATTTAATAAAGGCACAATGCGCTGAAGGAAAATGGAAACCTTTGAGGATTACTTCCGAAGGCCCTTTTATTTCCCACCTCTTCTTTGCAGATGACTTATTCTTTTTTCCTCGGTAACGAGAAGTAAAGAGCTTTGCGTTTCTGGACCGGAGTGTAACTAGCCCCGCAGGGAAAACCCGAAGGGTAAAACTCGGAAGGGAAAACCCTGAGTGAAGTGCCCAATGGGTATTGGGCACGAGTGAAGTAGATTCGTTGAGTTGCAAAAGCTTCTTTAGAGCAGATAGAGATCATTAAGGAAACTATAAGTACTTTTTGCAGTGTCTCAGGCCATAAAGTTAATCTTGCCAAATCAAAAATTTTGGCTTTAAGAATGTCAACCATAATAGAGCAACTCAGCTTAGTCATATCATTGGCATTGGTCTTACCGCAGACTTGGGCAAGTATCTGGGAGTTCCACTTATCCATTCTTGTGCTTCCAAAATGATTTCAATCCTCTTGTCATGAAAGTCAAGAAAAGATTATCTACTTGGAAAACTAATTACCTAAAATAGCAGGGAGGTCAATGCTCATCAAAGCTGTTTTATCAGTTATGCCCACGTATTTAATGCAGACAATGTTATTACCATAGGCATTCTTAAAGAAATTGAAAAAATTTGCAGAGGCTTTTTATGGAGTCAAGAGGGTAGATAAAAGGAAATTACACTTGATTTCTTGGGATACAATGAAATGCGAGAAAGAGTTGGGAGGTCTAGGGATTAAGGATCTCAAATATCAAAATATTGCTTTTATTATGAAGCTTTGTTGGAATTTGATAACTAAACCAGATGCTCTATGGGTTCAATGCATAAGGAAGAAATGCAAATGCGAATATAACTTATATCCTGAAGTCACTTGTAAACAGTGTTCCTCAGTGGTTGGCAAGCAATCACTCACACTTGGGAAGATTTTATGAAAGGTGTGGGGAAAAAGATAAGAGGCGGACATATTACCAACTTTTGGTGGGACAAATAGTCATGCCTTGATCAACCACTTATTTATTATGTTGATCAAACCTATAACACAATTAATCAGTCAGATGTGGTCAGCCAGCATGTGCTATCTACTGGGCAATGGAATATCATTAATTGGATTAATGTCATACCGTCATGTGTGATTAAGAAGATAAAGAGGTTAAAACCACCAAGTGGCTTTAAGGCTGATTAACTAAGTTGGAGATCTACTACTGATGGTTCTTTCACTGTCTCAAATCAGCGTATGATTTTCTCCAAACTATTGATCATGGGTCTCCAGAACTTTTATGGAAGAAGATATGGAAATGGCTGTTTCTAAAAGAATCAAGTTTTTCTTCTGGCAAGTTACTCTTGAGAGATTACTTACAAATTCACTCAGAGCTTTATGTGGTCTAACCATAAACAATGAGTGTCCATTTGAGTGCCATAGAGAGGAATCCATCATACACATCCTTCGAGACTGTGAGATTTCTAAAAGAGTGTGGGAAAGAATTATAATCCTAATGATTTTACTGCTTTTTTTCTTTGTTGATTTGCAAGATTGGCTCAAATGGAATACTACTCATAACCCAGGAAAAAGCAAATTTAAAAGATGGCCTTGGATAAGGTTTTTTGTAATATGTGCTGGCTCTTATGGAAGACTTGATGCAAAAGACTCTTTGAAGGAACCCAATTCAAGTCTAATGAGGTTATACATCAGGGTCTTTACTTGCTGGTGGAGGATTCAAGTATCAACAAGTTTAAACATGCAATATTCCAAGGTTTTTAGATGACGCAGATAGATGGACCCCTCCACCTAAAGGCTATGTTCTTGTGGATGTGGATGCTTCCATTAACCAACAAGGACATGTCACTTGTGGGGGAGTGTTCCGGAATGAACAAGGTGATTGGATTCTGGGCTTCAGACGTGAATTAGGAAGAGCAACCATATCAGTTGCTGAACTTCTTGCTATAAGAACAGGATTAGAGGTTTGTAACCAACAAAAATTTCAAAAAATCAAACTGTTCTCTGATTCGTTAGAAGTCATCAACATGCTTTTTAGGGATTATCATTCTGATTCTTCATTTAATGAAGTAACGGCAATTCGTGATTTTATTTACAGCAATTAGGACCTTGTCATAAAACAAGCATCCAGAGACAATTTAAGTTGTGCTGATTATTTAACCAAGACTGCTTACACTGTTGGAGCAAACACTGTTTTATTTTAGAACTGTCCTTTAAGTTGCTTAGACATCTTGTTGTTGGATAAGAGGAATGCTTAGTTTCTCTTTGCTTTTGTAACTCAGGCATTGGCTTGCCTTTAACTCAAAAAAAATATAGCTGCTCCATAGAGTCCTATTTCGCTGTCGAGTACCGCCGTGCTCATCATAAGAAAAGATTTGAGCCTTTTAAATTTTAATCTGAAGATTCAGATTTTTTAATTTTTTTTAATTTTAATAAAAAATAAAATTTATAAATTTTATTAATAATTATATTCATTATCAATCCGATATATTCATCATCAATCTGGATAGTACTAATTAAATTTGGATGGTTTAATTTAATGCTATAATTTTCATAAATTAACTAGTTACAAGGTGTAGATTTAAAGTTTTTATTTTTATTTTATATTTATTAAAATAAAACTTATTAAAAAATTTAATATTAAATCTGTCTTATCCAAAGTACATTTAGATAGTCAGTTTATGAAAATTATAATATTAAATTAAACCACTTAGTGTCTCAAATTAAATTAGTACTATCCATATAGTTAATTTATAAAAATTATAGCATTAAATTAAACCATCCAAATTTAATCAGTATTGTTTAGATTGATGATGAATATATTTATCAAAAAAATTTATAAATTTTATTTTTATAAAATTAAAATTAAAATTAAAATTAAAAAATTTAAACTATCTAAATTAAAATCTGTATAACTCAAATCTTTTTTTATGATGAGCACGGCTGCTGAGCACGAAAACCGGACTCCTGCTCCGTAATGGCATGGCTTTCCGGCGAGAAATGGGATTTGAAAACCGAAAACGTGTGAGAGCGAAATGTGGAAGCGCTTGATGCTTTTAACTTCTTTCTGTCATTTCTTTCTCATACTATACGCAAACCAGACGCCTCTGCTACGCAACCTACCTTTTTACTTTCTTCTTTTTAACAGGCTCCCTGCTAATTTTTTTTTTATTTATAAATTATATCATTAAATATTTTTTATAATTTTTTTTTACCTTCTATTAAATATTGGTAAAAGAAATCACCTTGTTAAAGTATGCAGTATATTAATATATTCAATAAGAACAAAGTTAAAAAGTTTATCAAATTTTGAGAAAAAAATTAATAATTTTAATTTTTTATATCAATAAAATATGTTAAAAAAATTTATAAATAAAATAAATAATACAAACGTTTGAATTCATGGCGTCTTAAATTGTCAACACAAGCAAGTTGAGACCATGTGCACGGAATTTTAATTTAAGTACTTGCAAATTAGATGTGTAAATACCATATTTACTCTTATTTTTATTATAAAGTACATTCTCAAACGGATAAATAATACTTATTATAAGCGACTCCATGAGATATTGAAATTTTTTTAATACTGCCTCAATCTAAAATTATCAATTATAAATAAAATTTAATGTGAATTTAAAATTTATTATTCAAATATAGGTAAAATTGAAAAGATGCTTTGTAATAATGCTTTGAAGAAGTATATAACCTGCTACAAATCTTTCCCTTAGAAAAACACTTACTCCAAATTTGGCTAATCCACTGATCACCTTCGCTCATGTTTGGTTGAAATAGACAAAGAAAGCCAAATGTCTATTTTAAACTCAAACACTTAATTTCTGTGGCCAAAATCAATGGTTAGGCATACATGCCCTTGACAAAACCAATTCTAATGTAATGTGACTTCTCTATTGATTATATTATGTCCATGATGATACAAGATTCAAAAAAAGTTCAAAAAAAAAACTTCAATAAATTACAATTTCATTGAAAAACATATATTTAAATTAACCTCAAATCACAAAGATATTTATTTGATTATATATTTTTGCACTTATTTACGATTTTTTTAATGAGACTTTAGTTCAAGAAATTGAATATAAGTCGTCATCGTCCTCCTTTTTATTAAAAAAAAAAAAAAGATTACAGCACGAGAATGAAATACATATAAACATCACAAATAATTAACAAAATAATATGCAAAAACAGCAGTATGGATGAATTTACACCGGGCATAAGATATCTGATATGTCAAACACTAAAAAATCCAGCAAGCAACAAACCGAATGAACTAAAGCTAGCATATCATCTGCATTCTAATAGTAACAGCCTCTAGTATCACTTCCAATTATCTTGCCTGTTATTCCTGAAAGCGCAGCATCCGATGGAGTAGACAATGATGAGAAATATGAGAAAGACGATGTTCACAATAGCCACTTTCTTCCAATCAGTCTTCATGTTTTGAAGAAACCCAGCTTTGCAAGATTGGCAATTGAAGCACAGAACAGTTGGGTCATTCTTCCAAAGAGCACAGTCAGGATTGGCAGAGGTTGAATTTGCTGTGTTGGTCCATTCAGTCGGGTTCACGTACGTGAAGTTACATTCGTCCGCTGGCTTACAGCACCCAGACTGCACAGAACAATCAATATAAAAAAGGCTGACAAGTCAGATTCATAGTACTCAATATTTCAAATACTTGAAGGTCATATATTTAATCACAAGTGCTAATTAAGATATCTTATGCTGTAATTCTCTCTCGTAAATTGATATTAATTCCTGCAGCGAATTTTTCAAAGCACATTTACAAGAAGTCATGAACAGAGTTGGGTAAGCAGATGAAGGCAGAGAAAAAAACCAACACGCATATAATGATGTTAAATATTGAATTAATCATGAGATACTTTCCTGCCAACAGTGACCCACCTGTATGGTTTAGGGCTCCACTACATTTAAGTGTTGATGTGACAATTCATAAAACTGTTTCAGACTCAGCTACAATCCATCGTTGGCCCCCCCCCCCCAAAAAAAATCAATTTGTGTTGCGAGTTTCGTGAGGAAAAGGCCATATGATTTTGTTTTATTTATGGCCAATGAGGAGGAAAGGAAAAGCATATTAAGCAGCAGCTAAGCGATAATTCTTATTAAGATAAGTCACACACGAGTCTATATCATTTAGGTCCAGAATAAGGATCAACATAATCGAATTTGAAAAATGAATTAAAATAATTGACCAAGTCAATTAGACATCTTTATCCACGAATGAGACAAAAAAAAAACACAGAAAAAAGTAATCACGCAATAATGCAGCACGGAACAGGAAATTTTCTATGGCTGGATGGGTGGACAAAACACGATGCTAGCTCACAAGAAAGAAGCTAAAGTTCTTGGCCAGCCACCCTGGCAAGAATGAACTGTAAAATAATGGCTAGAAAAGGCTTTAGAAAATAAGCACGATTAAATATAATAGAATAATCCAGCCCTTTTCGGACTAAAACCAACTCGATGCAAAAGCCCATCTTCTTTCCGAGAGGAACCTTGAGTGCGTTGGAAAAGCATACAACATTAAACTCAAACACATTTTCCCAGATGTGATCTGACATATGTTCAGTTATTTCGAAGAGGGGGCTTTTTCAAGAGAACTTCGTCTCTCAAAAGTAGAGAGGATCCCCCGCCTTTTCCTTTTCCTTTTTTTTTTTTTGAGGTAAAGAGGAGCCTTTCTCCTGCATCTAAAAGCGTTTTATTTTTATATTTCTATCTCTAATTGTTGGGAAATATTTAAAAGCAAATATCAGCCATGGCTATATTGCGAGTCAAACTCGAATTCATGCCCAGAAAACACAAATACGAGCCGTGTTCGAGTGGAAATTCAAATTTTACTCAAACATGCAGATCATTAAGAGGGGAAAATGTAATTGAATTGGCGTCTTGACAAATCAATGCTGTATAATCCATATTTCTATCATAGGGGGAAAGGAAAGAACGCTTGTATGGTTATAAACTACAAATCCAGATCTGATAATGAGCATAAGCAACACAACTGTACTGCTCTGCAAAAAATCCCCTTTGCAGTGAAGAGAAATCTAAGAACAAAGGCATGCATGCTCAAATTTGATGTAAACCCAAATCAAAACAAAGAAAAATTCAATGATCGCGGTACCTGAAGCGCCGATAAGTTCTCGGTATAGAACTTCTGGACATTGTCTTGGAGAAATTGGTCTTTAAATTTGGAGCAGAGTTTGCCAGATTGAAGACAGCTCTGAATTTTGCTCCAGGTTTTGGTGTTGTTCACACGCTTCTGCAACCAGTTAGAGTAATCGCCGAGCCTATACTCCTTATAGCCTCTATTGGACAAGGCTTGACCTGCGCCTTTGTTGGTGACAACAAAGGCGAAAATAGTGAAGGCGAAGACCAGAACGATGAGGCAGAACATGACGACTAGGTAGAGCCAGAGGAGCCAGGACACGCGACAGCAGGCACCGATGAAGCCAGCAATAGAGACCAGGAGGAGGAAGACGCCGAGCGCAATGACCGGCTTCTCTAGCCATCGCTCGCAGTCGGTGTTGGCTTGGCGGCTGAGCCAGATGCCAGCAATGAGAATAGGGATAGAGAGGAGGAGGGTTAGGAAATTGAGGATCCCGATCAGATTGTTGCTTACACGACCCATTATTGAGTGAAGAAGGCAAATCTGAGCACACGGATTGACCTAAACAGAGAAGAGAGAGAGTGTGCGGAACGGAGACGAAGAAATTGGAAAGAAATTTAGAAGAGGGTTTATGAGGCCCTGTGGAATTGGTGGTGTGGTGCTTCCTTGTTTTATAGTGTCTCAAGTAGGTGAAAATTTGAGAAAGACGTTACAAAACGAACCTGCGAAGAAGGCAATCGAAGGTCTGATCTTCACGCGTTAAGCGCGTTTTCGCGATGGCCTCAACTGAATGTGATGCGTTTTTATGAATTTATTATTGTCTAAATATTTTTACTTCCATTATTTTAATAGATTTTTTTTTTTGCAAGCATTATTTTAATATATTTAATAAATTTTATTTAAGGTGTAACGCGGTAGGATAAATCTCTACAATTTGTAAATTGCATTGTTTTGCACTCTTTCTTTTGCGGTAAATGTTCATTTGTGCCCTTGTCATTTTTAAAAATAATATTGGTTACTACAATTTCTTTTATTTTCCAAGTGTATAATTTTCATTGTTCTTTCTACAATAAATTTTCAACATTGTCGTTTCAATTTCCAAACATGATATTGGTCCAACATCATTTGAGCTTCCCTCCCCATTTTTCCTTGTCTTTGTAATTTTCCATATCTTTATAATGTTCTTAAAAAAAAAAAAAAAACTTGTCCTCATTTCATGCCTGCGATTCTTCTTCCTTCAATTCTTTTTGAAAAATAATGGTCTTCATAATAAATTGAGGAGGTTTATGTACAAAAGTTTGGAAATGAAATGTTCTTTGTGTTCTGCCCTCATGAATTTTCTTTTGATGGATACTTCTTCCAGTGGTCTAGAATTCAATAAACATGGCTTTTTTTAATTATTTTCATAATTTCATCATTTAACGACAAAAAACTATTGATATCTTTATCCATTTCTCTTTCTCTTTTATGTTTCTATGATGTTTTTTTTAATCTTTGTATTACTTGATATGGGTCACATAACTCCTACAATGTTTTTACAACTGGGTAGGGTATTTGAAAGAAAATAAGCTCACGGATTAAATATGGATAGGTGACTTTATTTTAAAATTTAATTTATGAAGCTACTATCAAACAAGATCAATTAAATGTATAACATTATGATCATATAGGTACACATTTGGTCGATCAACAAATCTTATATTCTAGGTTTTTTAAAAAAAAAAAATTCTATTGAACGTTATGTGAAGTTATAATTTTCTTTTTGTTTATATGGTGTACTTGGATGAAGGATGCGCTTTATACATTAGTGAATATTGTGGAGCAAAGATATGGTTTAACAAATGAGTCAAGAACGAGAATGAGCAAAGTTACACAAATAATGTGTTTGCACTATGCTGTTTCCAAAGAAAGATACCATTAGCACTTGTAGACCCTCCTTCACCTTATTTAGCCCACTTAATTTTTGACAAAAATGAGCCAGATTCAAAAGAATTTTTTGAGAATATATGTATATATATATATATATAATTCATTATATAAGTGTACCAAAATATTAGCTAATAAGCAAATTAATATTGAGTTATTGAAAACTTGGTTTCCATTTAAATAAAAAATCATTGTTTTCAAGCTTAGCTTTACTTATAAAATATAGCAATTACAAGAGTTAAGCTGAACGTGAAATGCATCATCATTCGTTTTTGAATTAGTTTAATTTTGTTTGTCTAACTTTATAATTTATTGAGTTTATTTATGTTATTCTCGTGTGATTGGGTGTTGGGATTAAAATCTAGCTTCAAGTATGATAATTTACGTGAGTTGGGACTTGAACATATCTCTAGGCTAGAATTATTAGCAAATGACCTATAATAATGTCCCCACTCTGACAATAGAATTTAAATATATAATCTTGTGAGATATGAATCAAATTCTTATTAACTGAACTAAGTTTTGCCAAAAAATATAATGATATTTTGCATATAACTTTTGACTTTTTGTTTTCAAAATTAATGAGATTTTGTTATTTTATTCATAATGTGTTTTTTTAAAATTTTAAATTATTTTTATTAAATGCATTATCTTCAAAAAGGACCTTCAATCTCTTAAAAAAAAATCATATCGAATTCCAGAAACTATTTTACTTATTAAGCATAAACATTCTTTTAATCTTTTCACATTACATGAGATTTTATTTTAATTATTTAATTTTATAAAGAGTTTTTTGAGTACCCTAATGGTAGCATGATCTGTTTTGTTATGATATGTACGGAAACTGTTGTTCAATGTCTCATGAGCAAACTAATTTTTGTATTATGATGTACTACAAAGATTCGAAAGTAGTCTAACCGGTAATGCGATATTGACCCCCCCCCCCCCCCCCCAAAAAAAGGCACGATAAATAGCTTTTTAAAAGTACCTTTAAAGATATGCCGGCTAAAAAAAAATGGTTGCTGATATAAAAGTTTTATTAACAAATAATATTGTATGTAATTATACTTTTTTGTGGAAAGAAATGCATGTGATAATTTATACACGAGCTTTACTTTATATATAAAAAGTGAAATCTATAATAAAAAGTTGAGTTTATTTATATATAAAAAGTGAAATATACAAGATCTTAAGAAATTTGCTTTGTTAATAGGTGAATTTCTAACCTTCAAATTTTGATAATCAGCACGGTAACTTAATAAGTTAATATAGACCTAGTAACCTGAATTTATCGGTGATATAATAATATATTAATTACTTTTTATGTGAAGAAAGTGCATAAGTTTTTTTTGTTGTGGAGAGTGGATAACCTTTTTTTTTTCTTTTTACAATTCTAAATTGTCTTTGAAGACTTTCTCTTGCGTGTCATATACGATGACAATCATTTATACAGTTCGCACTTTAGATTTAGATACTTTCTTGTAAAAAATTAAAATAAAAAATGTTTTATCAAGGTAGATGAGAATTTTTGGGCCAAAATAAGTTGGATGAGAAATTTGTGGCAGTTGAAGTTTAAGAGAAAAAGGAAAGAAATAATGGTGATATATTTGCTTCTTGAAATTGAAAGTCATAAGCCAGATTAAGTTTAATTGGGAGTAAATTATTGGACAAATGGGAAAAAATATGAATCGGTGACCTACTGCAACCGTCATGAATCTTTTGAAAAGGTACCGTCCTTTTTAAGAACTCTTTTCTTAAAGAAAAGGCACGAGACATATTTTTAAGCAGCAAAAAACTAATTATTATTGGTTGGCCAAAAAATGCTAATGGTTTTTGGGCAAACTTGCTCTTAGATTATTAGAGGTATTCAAAATTTTAAACTCATTTTTTATATAAAAAAATAATTTGTAAATTTTATAAGTTTTTTTATGTGAATTTTTATCAGATCAAAGTTATTTTTTATTAAGAAGTAATATTATATCGTTTTAAAATGTTAAAAAAAATATTACATTATGAATAAGTTTAAAGTCTCATATGTTTCTAAACTTATAATTTAAAGATAAATTTATTATTTAAACCAATTATTAATTATACTATAAATGAAAATTTCATGCAATATTGGCGCATATATATATATATATATATTTAAAGTGGGTGATAGACTAATTAGATGGCTCAAAGAAATGAAAACAATCAATATTCTCTTTCTTTGCAAAGAAAAACATCAATATTCACAAACTATAAAATTGATGAAAAGTCGTATTATATGTAGATTATTTTTTTTTTAAGAGTGAAAATGAGAATTGAGACAAGCCATTGATCTTCGGGTCCCCAAATTAAAAAAAAAAAAAAGACGAGCATTGATCTGGAAAGGGCATTGTTAAGTAGAAGGTACGTAATAGAACGGCGAGCTCGGAGTCAAGTCAAGAAGTGGAGGCGGAACCACGAAGCTCATTCATCCAAATGAAATACAATCAAAGAAAGCGAGGCGTGACGGAAATTCCTATGAGTCATCAAACGTGGCTTGACTCGTTGCTTCACCAGTTACTTTTTTATATTCTATGAGTATAATATATAATAATATATTAATTTATCATAAACTTTTTTAACCTTAATTGATACGAACCCAAAGACGAGTCAAAATATAATATTTAGTACATTTGACAGGGCATTGGAAAAAGTAATAACTAAATCCAAAGCCAAGAACGTGAAAAAAAGTTATAAATTTATTAATTTAAAAAATTTTAAATGATTAAAGAGTTGTAGAGGTAAGTAAAGTTTTAAAAGACTCAAAAAAAAAACTTTTATCATATTGAGCTTAAATATTAGTCCAATTAATTTAATTATTAGTATTTTCTTAACTTTAAAATATTAGTTTATTTTATTTTATTTTAAATTTAAGTTTAGAAAAATTAGTTTTTTTTTGTTTTAATTTAAATAAGAGTAAAATATATTTATTAAGATATGGTTTATTCATTTGGAATCCTAGATTAACTAGAACTGAGTCATTAGTTATTTAAGTTTTTAAAAGTCTATTTAAATAATTAAATCATTTATATTTTTCATCCTTGATTTGAATTTGTGAATTAATTTTTTTAAATTATGAGGCTATTTTAATTAGTATTGTTTTTTGTAAAATAATATACTGTAGAATTTCGAACTATTATGAGCTATCGTTGGATTATCCTATATCATTTTTAAATTAAATATTGACCAAAGAAAATATATTATTAAAAATATGTTTGTTTAACATAGATATATTTTTTTTACTTTTTATAAAATATGTTGAAACTGACTTTTTGTTAACAGGTGACTTTCTGACGTTAAAATTTTTTTTTTTTTTTTTTTGGAAGTGAAAAGGCAAGCCAAAGCTTGTGACAGAGTCAGTTAAAAAAACTTAGGGAGTGGAGCAAAGGCTCTTCTCTTCCTAGAAAATTCCTTGACAGCACCAAGGAACTTCAAGCCATGAGCGTTCTTAGCAAGTGCATCCGCACATCTTACTAAAGCTCTCGGCCAGTGAAAGTGATTTCTACCTCATCTAGCTGATGAAGTAAATTCTTTATCTGACTACCAAGTGGCATTAACGGGTGACATGGTTCGCAGTCCTGCCTGATCAATTTAATCCCTTCCAGTGAATCTCTGTGAACCTTAATCCTACACAAATTCCGTTCCTTATATAATTGAAGTCTAGCTTTTGATTCCTTCAAGTTCTGCTTCAATAGAGAAACCATTTCCCAACATCTGTTGCAAACCTACCCAAGATCCAGTCTCCTCGATGATCTCTCATTATCCCAGTGCAAGTTTGAATAATTATAGCTGCTAGCATCTCTTAATAAAGATTGAATATTGGACTTCCCTTTGTATCTTAATTTTTTATATTTGATTTCTCTTAAGTTTTCTCATTTTTTGAGACCATCTGATATTTATGATTATAGTTTAAAGTTTAAACTAAATTTGAGTACAAGTGAAAGTTTTTTAATTATGATTTCTTACAAAATATGAGAAGCCAACTAATTAACGCACACATAACAGAACTGAAATCCTAATAACGATAATAACTTAGAAGATAACGACAGTTGAGTTCATCCCTTCGGTCGTTTCTGTAAGCACAGCATCCAATGGAATAGATATCCACAGCAAAAGGATGACAGTGAAGTTAACAACACACACATTAAGCCAACTGTTCCTGATGTTATCCAGCACTCCTGCTTTACACGCATCGCAATTGAAGCACAAGATACTTGGATTGTTGTCCCATGCATTACAATCTGGATCCGAAGACGACGTCGTCCCGTTTTCTGGCTTCTTCCACACTATCGCCGACTCGTATTCGAACCCACACACCCTTGAAGGCTTACAACACCCTGACTGCATAAATCAAAACACCACCACGTATGCTAATCACAAACTTGAACAAGTTTCAAAACAGCGCATACATGCATATAATTGTACTTCCCAGTACAATGATAATGAGTACTATATGTTATAAATATTAGATCACTTTTTATAAGTGAAATGGTTTATACATGCTTTAAAGTTTAAATGTCAGTTCTTAAAGAAGAAGAAGAAGAATGCTTTCCAGTTCAGAAGGCAGGTGCATGCGTAGAGCTTCTGAACCTCCACAAATTTAAAGAATGGCGTAAATATTCTCAAAAAGTTTCTTCACTGCAAAGTTCTTGTAAGGTTCAGCAGAGAGAGACATGATCAGAGTGAAATTGTGAAAGTGCGGTTAGAGCCTAATTCTTCTTCTTCTTCCGGCCCTTTTCAACTCTCTAAACTCTATGAAAAAATTACCATCATAACAACGTAACTTCAAAGGATCTAAACTTTTGAACATGAGAAGAATAACAGTGTCACAACATATAACATCATGCTATGCATAATTGAATTGGATTCAAATGTATTGGTTATTGTGTTCTCATGATTAAATGCTGTCGCAACATACAAGATCGTTATATATATATGCATTGCTCTTTCTGTTTCCGTTAATCTGTAGGAAGTCTGTTTTACATTTTGCATGCTGCTGTTATCTTGTGTAATCTTTTGTGGTTCGTATTTTGTTTTCTTTATCAATAATACAAGCGTTTTATTATTCAGGCAAAAACCAATGCATATATGTGTGTGTGTGTGCGTCTTAGAAGTATGCACAGGAATGTAATATCCCACCACACAAACACGTAAGCTGGGATAATTCGATGAGAAAGTAGATCAAAATTAAAGGAAGAGAAAATACGGAATAGTTGAGAGTACTACCTGAACTGAAGATAAATGCGATTGATAGAAGGGTTGTACAGTGTCGTTTTGATGATCGGAGTAAAATTTAGCGCAGAGTTGAACTCGCTGCAAGCAGCTCTTGATGTTATTCCAGTTATCGACGTTCTCCACTCTCCTCTGCAACCAGTGTGAGTAATCCCCAAGCCTATATTCCTCGAAACCTAATCCAGACACGGCTTCCCCAACCCCTTTGTTCGTAATCACGTACAAGAAGATGTTGAAGGCGAACAGCGCGATGATGATCAAATTCATGAGGAACAGATAGATGCAGAGGCAGGCGGTGGAGCTGCAGCAAACGCCGATCATACCTATCGTGGACAATACCATGATGCAAATGCCGAATATGAGGATCGCTTTCTGCAACCATTTCTCGCAGTCGCTATCCTTTCCTAGCGATTTGGCTTCTAATATTATGGGGATTGACAGAATGAGTGTCGAGAAATTTATTAGCAGGATCAAATTGTTACTCACCCTAAACATGTTGAAGAGAATTGGGAAATCGAATTTCTCGGCATTGGCAAGAACCAAGTTGAAAAGGAGAATGCAGATTTCAGAATCGGAAACAGAGAGCCTTACAGAACAAGGAGAGAACGTCTTTTTCCATTTATTTCCCCATGTTTTGACAATCAAATGAAAAAAAAATAATACAAATCATGAATATATTTTAAAAAATTATATTAAAATCTCACATAAAAAAATTTAATTATTGCAAGTTTAAATTAGTAATGTAATTTAATTTAATTATTAATAAATTTTATGGTAATTAATTTTTTTGTGTGGATTTAATTATAATTATTTTTATATTTTACTCTGTAACAGTATAGCTCTAATATAATTCCTTCTCTTTTTCCTTTTTTAGTCCATTTCTTTTTGGGTTATTGAAATTGATTGATGGCTTTTGGTTGCGGTTAACTGCTAGGTTAAAGCCATAGCTGACAAATGGCTGTGCCTGTGCGTGTGTTGACCACTAGACAAGCTTAGATTATCTAAATTTTGATTACGTTATAATATTTCTTTTTTCTTTTTAATACAGAAAAATGGTACAAAAAAAATAATTAGTTTGCCTCTGTCCAAATAATGCTTCTGCACCATAAAATAAATTTTTAAGGGTCTATTTAATTCAAGAGAAAAAAATGAGAGATGAGAGAAGAGGAGGGAAGAAAAAGGGAGGGAGAGGAGAGGAGAGTTCCCCTTAATTTAAAGGGAAGGCTTTGGAGAGGAGGGGAGGGGAGGACCAAATGAGGGGAGGGGAGGCCCCGATCCAAACGCTCCCTAAAAACTATACTTCATTCATTTTAAATTATAAAATATTTTTTAAAAAAATTTGACATTTTAAATTATAAGACATTTTAATAAAAATAAAATTTAATAAATAATATTTTTAAATATTAGCCTTCACATTATATTTTTTGCTTTTAATATTCTTTTATAAATAAAACATTAAATAAATAACTTTTTTAAAATTTATATTTTTATTTTAAAAAATAAAATTATAAAATATATTTAATAAATTTTATTGATATGTATATCTTTTTAAAAAAATATTTTAAAAATTAAGATAGAGTATCTAAATTGTCGTCAAACAAGCATGCACATGATCGAACACACCGCTGGTACTGGCTTATTGGGTGGAGTATATCGCATGACAGAAGAAGACAGGTAGATCAAATGGGCCGAACACCTAAGCTTTTAGGCCAAGCTCAATTATGATGGATCCTACAAGAAAGGGGTGGGCTCATAAAAACTGAAAATGGACAGTATCTGGGCCGTTGTGCGGCACATGGGCCCATAATACAATCAGAGTTCTGGGGTACCTTCCGAAACCTCTAGCTAATCGTGCTTTGCCATTCCTCCTTCCATTAATTTCAGCGTGTATTTACTATTTACATCAAAGAGAATGTCCAAAGAAAATTTCTCCTCTCATTCGCTTTTATTTAGAAGATGTTCAACATCTTTCACATGTGTACAAGTGGCTATTACAAATTTGATTCAACACTATACAAAATTCAATGATATTATATAGAAAGGGGTTACAATAGAGCCATCAGATTAGCGTTTGCTATAGACATTAGAACCATCAAAATTCATGGCTTATACTGGCAGCAGCTTGAATCAAGAATTATATCTGATTGCTCCTCTTTTCTTCCTTACAAACATCACTTTCTAGAAACTAAGGAATCATATGGTCCTGCCCAAGCAGCACTGGTCACAGCCGTGGTGCCATTGGCACCCTCGCCCCCATACGCCATCGCTGTCTCTCCTGCTTGTGCTCTCCCATAGCCATCAACAAAGGTGCTCGGTATGGCGGCGGCAGCAGCACCATACAGATTTGGTGCTATGTCAACGTAGCGTTAATGCATCAACGATTGAAAAATGCATGCAAATATCAGCTATTAAAGCATCAGCATACAGGAGCAAGAAAGTTACCCCGTGTTCTTTTTTCAACATTCTGAATCTCAGCTCGTAAAAATTCAACTTCTCTTGCCATTACTATCAGATTCTTTTCTGTTGCTTTCAATTGCTCCACTAGCTCAACGTTTTTGCTCTTCTCATATTCAAAAGTCGCACTTTGCCCAACCAGATTCAAAGGATTAACAAACAAGGTAAAAAGAGAAAGACAATGAAGAGCAACAAACAGCAACAATGAAAATATAAAACAGGATGTAATGCTAAGGCAAATGTTGAAAGATTATGTGGCATATAAAGACAGCCATCAATGATGAACACCATATGACTTGAAAACATGGTCTGACAGAGAGATCAATGCCACTCCATCACACACTAACGGTGCAGAAGTTTGATACACAGAGTGCAAGACTGCAAGTTAATATAGCAGAACATAACAATAGGAGACAGTCATTATGCTATTCAAAATACCCAATTTGAAGATAACACATCATGAATGCATTCTGGTCTCATCATGTTTAGATAATCCAATGAACAGCATTCTTTTCCCTTCGCACAATTTTATCCAACAAACTGACCTTGCATCGGCATTGTTACAATAAAAGGAGGAAAACTTATCCATGAGTCTAGTATCAGTTCTGATCTACAAGCAAAAGGAGCAAACCTATGAGGCTATATCAGGCAAAAGACTTACCGTAACCTCTGGTGTTCTTGCAATAAGCCGTCCAGTTCATCCTGCAGATCTGGCAAACTTTTGACATCACCACGGACTTTCTTTAGCTCCTGAGTAGCTCTTTCAACTTGGCTGTTCAATTCTTGTCTGGCAGCTACCAAGCTCTGTGCTTCAAGATGGGCGAGTTTGAGTTCTTTCTTTACATTCTCACCAGCTCTAATGTCTCTTTCCATTTTTGCAATCTTATCCAGTAAAACTCTGATCTGGATGTCACTTTCAGTTTGAATGCTCCTAATGTGTGCCTTCAGTTTTTGCACTTGCTGCTGAGCAGCAACAAGGTCCTCTCTCAAGGTCACATGAGTACTTGCCAACCTGCGGTTGTCCCCCACAAGTTGCTTTATTTCTGCTTCCTGAGATGCAATTTTATCCCCCAACATTTGAGGAGGCAGCGGCTCTAGTGAAGGATGGCCAGCAGAAGAGCTTACACCAGGATATGGACCATGCCGCATCATCCCAGGAGCTTGGACAGAACGCCTCTCAAATGCTGCTGGAATATTGCCTCTGGCTGCCATTTGTCAGAATGAGAACTTGTAGTCAAGCAAACATTGATATCTTACACACCAAAGACACCTGCAATAAAAATACCCACTGCTCCGATGGCAGGGGATATGGAACCATATGATTTGCAACATAAGTGAAAGCTAATATTCTAGCCTACTTTTAAAGAGAAAGCAAATGGAGAAAACATATGTTCACAATTTTCTATCTCTTGCTGTTATTAAGTGATGAATACTGTCATAAATGGCAAACAGAACTGAGAATTCAAGAAATAAACTTTATCAGGAAAGCAATGTATCAGGAGAATATTATGAAATGCACAATATGAATTGTCATTGCCTTCATATTTTCACCGAATGTACTGATGTAGGGGCAAATCAAGGATGACTAGGTAATTCCAATCCAGAAATTATCATGCTTCAAATAAAGATAACGGAATTATGGATATTAGATGTAGTCAAAGAAGACTTCAACCCAAAATTTTAAGCTGCAAAGTTAAGGCTCATAATTTTATTCATATCTCTAATAAAATGAACATATCTGGAAGATCTTGGATGAACCTTCTTTTCTCCAGACGTACAATTGCTTTTTGTAAAAAGTCGAAATATGATGAATTGCATGAGTAATAGAACTACAGTTTGTCACTTGGACCATATGCATAATATATTTACAACAAGAAGCCTTATTCCACAAGGTGGGATTGGCTACATGGGTATAATTTACTTACATGCAAGAAAAATGGTAAATTCCCTTTTTGGACAGTTATGGATGCAGAAGGATTTAAACCACAGACACTGTAGTTATTAACCACGTGCTCACCGATCAGGTAAAAGAAACTGAAAACCAAGCATATGTTTGGGAATCCGTTTTGGAAATTGGCACCCTTAAAATGGACACATCCAAAATCTAACAAACCCCAAAATGGACACCCAAATTTGCGTTAGTAAATACAAGACGACACCATTTCTGAGAGCAAAGTTGTAAGCATAGCAAGTGGCACAACAAGGAAAACTTTGGCAACTTCCCTTTTCGGGCAATTGCAGGTGATGAGGGATTCAAACCCCCAATGCTGTGGTTGTGCTCACTAAATAAGGAGGATAAACCATCAACTAACGTATACCAAAATGACAAGAACCCCATTCCACCATTCGCGACAGAAAGCTTGCAAGCATAGGCATAGCAAGTGGCACTGCTAAGGAAACATTACAATCAAAACAAATTCCCTTTCTGGTGAATGTAGGAGAGGAGGAATTGAAGCCCCTAATGCTGTGGAGTTATGGCTTTGCGCTCCCTAATTAAGTAGGCTAAACCAACAACTAACAAATACAATAATAATGAAAACCCTGTTTCTAAGAGCATGCTTGCAAGCATCCAAAGTGGCATTACTAGGAAAACATTCAACATAGGGAAGAATTGGAATTTCAAGCATTTCTATGAGTTGTATCTTAATTGCCTAAGTTTGGAATCCTAGCACAATGAAAAATACTATGGGCCTGTTTGGAAATCTGTTCTGAGAACAGTTTTCTATTTTTCAAAACAAAAGAACAAAAAAATCTATTCAGTAATATGTTTTCAAAAAGTGTTTTGTAGAACAAAAGAACAAAATATTATTTTGGAGAACAAAAAAATGAAAACAATTTTTAAATGTTCTACAATTATTGTTCTGAAAAATAAGAGAAAGTGAAAAAAAACACCTATTTTTATTATTTTTTTATCCTCAAAACATGTTTTACAAAACATCAGTTTTTAAAATAATAAAATAAAAACAGTTTTAAACAGCCCTATGATGCATGTGAGTCCTATTGAATTCATAGGTATTGCTTGTATAGTGCCTCACCAAATATGTGGAAATTGAAATATTGGGCTCTGCTACAAGCGTCTAGGATAAAGTTCTAAAATTCCGGCATTAAGCATCTTAAAATCTTGAGAAAACCACCCAGCCCGCCCAAAAATATTAGCAATGAATTCCAAGGGTAAACCCTCACAAGAAGGGGCACCAAAGGGACATAGGCGGACCTGTATTATCTGCCCCCACTGAAATCTTTGATGTATGAATAGTTGATATCATACCCTTTTAATTTTTGGTCCATATACTTTGACGAAGACGCCTTACTAAACCAATTGATTCAGGCAACTCCTCCAAGCAACTGAAGAATGACACTTTAAACTCAAGCAACTCGAGCCAAGTCATTCCAGATCATTCATCACGAATACCTTGAGAATTTTCTAAATAGATGATAATGTAAAGAGATTAATAAACAGAATGACGATACACAACATATCCAACATTGCCCAACAAAACAAGCCAAAGCATAAGTCGCTAGTCATCAAATGAAGAGGGCAGCAGTATAACACCCGATCACACACCATTGAAGCAAGAACTAGAAATAGAAGTTTTTTTTTTTTTAAAAAAAAAAGTAAACTCAATCTTTATTCAAAGGCGTCAATATTCAAACGATTATACGACCAGATTCAAAACCCAATTAAAATGAAAAATTTAAAACAGAGTAAGCAACAGTACGACGGCGTCCGACACAGGGTTGACAACAACGCAGGGAATAGAAGACGCGGGGAATAAATTCAAAGCCAGATTGAACAAAACAATCTCACTGGATTTTGGGAATATATAAAGCCCTAGGGTTCGAACCTTCTTCAAAACTTGCCCGAGAACAACCCCGCAGGGCCGACAAAGGCGCCAGCGTCCGACGGCGAACTCGACGAAGTGTGAAATACTTCTTCGTCGACGCAGAAAAATGGTTAGCTACGCCAGATAATAAAATTTATTTTTATATTTTATCAGTATTAATATCTCTTTAACATTTTTAGATTTTTTATATGCATGGAATGTTGGAGACATCTGAATTCTTTTTATAAGCATATGATATTAGTATTAAATTACATCCAAATTTAATTGAATACTGTATCAAAATAAACTCTTTCATGTCAAATAAATTTTTTGCCATGGTTTTAATTCCTAAAGTTATTTTCATTTTTTTCTTTTAAACATTCTTATTTCTTCAAAAAAATTTCAACAAATTAGATTAGATTGGACCTTGACCATTTTACTAGGTGGAATTGGACAGAAGAAGGAAAAAACGTCATGAGGAAACGGATTCTATAAAACTATATTAGACCTAAAATATAAGCAAAACGATATTATTATCTCACTTTTTTACATTTTCAGTACTGGAAACATCTCTTAACAATTTTTTTGCCCTTTTATATTATTAGCTAATTGAACAGAAAAGAAAATAGAATAAAGTCGCACTTTTTCTTCCTTGCTATGCTGAATATACCTTCGCTTTAATTCTGGCATCTCAAATTAGGACCACAGCGTGACCATGTACATACTTATGTGTTTCTATATAATATAAAAGATCTAACAAAAAATATTATCTATATACACATATATTAAGAATAATGTTGGTTTTTTCCTCAAGGTCTGTAATGCTCATATCCACCCATTCATGTTAGCTTTTGACATGACATCATAACAACAGTACTGTCAGAAAGCAAGAGGAAGAAGTTGGTGCAGACTTGTCCAGATAGGATGGAAAGTGATGGACTTTGGTATAAATTCGGAAAAACTAACATCACTATTTCCCTGTACAATCCATCATCAGTAACTACATTTTCAGATCATCATGATAAATCCAACCCAAAAGTTCTGAATCGAAAGGCAAGCTTTCACTATCTTACTGATTAAGATCTAGCGATCTGCCGAAAACAATAGGCTTGCTTCTCTCAGAACTGTACAAGTTGTTCATCTATTCAACCCTGCAAGAGTCCGCCAATTCATAATATTTACTCTTCTAATAGATTCAAAACTGTGAGCATTCCCCGAACTGTGCGTGCGCGTGTGAAGACAGAGACATGTATGTATAGCAGGACTGTCAAAGTTTCAATCAATAGCTCGTGGATCTTATTTTTCTTGAGAGGCATAAGCCCAATTTGCTGGGAAAATTCAGGAACTTTTTCACATGATCCGTTTATTATGCCGCCCCCAAACTTGTTTTTACATGCTATTGGGGCGCCTTAAAAAGCCGCAGATCCAACTTCACAATATAACCAAGTGGTTTAGTTTGAGAGTTTACAGCTTCTTTGGATGCATCATCAAGCTTTCAGATTGATCTCAGATATACGACAGCTCGGCAATCATGTTCTACATGCAGAAGTACTGACGTGGAAAGTGATTGTGTCAGTTTAGAACTTACAGGAGGTCATCACTTCTGTCAAATATTTAAAGAAAGAGGAAACCCAACTTTCTTTCTGCCTTAAAAATCTAAAAGAGGTAAGCAATATGAATAAAATTCAAGGGATATAGGATAAAGTTTAGTTAAGCGAAGTATTTCCCTGGCCCTGCACAAATCTTGGATTCATTTTGCTGTTGTTAAGTGTTCACAGGTTCTACACTTAGCGCTGTGTAAGACTTGAAAATAGCCCCACATCGGAGAGCCAACCAGTGAGCGAGCAATGAGCGGCTATAAAAGCTAAGGAGAGTTGGGGAATAAGCATACCTTTCTCGGCCTTTTGGCTAAGATCAAGTGTAGTATCTGTTCTTATCAGTTTAATATCTGATACGTGGGCCATCGGCCCACATGATATTAAATTACTTTTTTAGGGGGAGGGTCCGCTACAGTAGCTTGCTACTGGGATCTTCGCGCGTCGCCCATGCGTTGCACTGCTGCACGGGCCTGGCGCACCCACCAAGCCCAAGTTCAAGATTTATACTGTGTTATTTTATCGGGCTGGAATTTTTTTGTTCCTTTCAAAGCTGAGTTGTGATACTTAGGTTTTGATGGGCTCAAATGGTGTATTTTCATATCATCCGTTGGGCTGTATGGCTCCGTTTAAGTTGGACTTCTTTTGAACTCACTTTTGACATGATTTCCGCAGTGTTAAGGCCCAAATAAAGATTAAATTTAGTATTACCAATAAACATCGATTAACTCACGATCTATGCGCGGTACTAAATTATGTCTAGTATGGTCATTATTTTCTATAAATTCTTGGTTCAATTTTTTATAGTTCATTTTTTAGGTGTGCTTATAACCCCAACAATGTTCTGGTAGCCTTCTAATATCTAGTAGTACTCACATTGTTGCTGTTTCTGGTATGGTATTTGTATTGGAAGCTGAGGTTTGGTCTTCGACTTCTACAATTTCCCCTCCCATTCTATCTCCATATTTGGTCCACAAATTATTCTATAGGTGTATTACGTAGATTCCTCAGATCACTGAAAAAGGATCCCATTGGAATTTTCCATGGTATAATGATTAATCAGCACCTACGTAATCATTTAATTCTGAATAAGGATCTTAGTTTTCAGAACTCTGAATATATGATAAAAAACCAAGGGAAGGAAATTCGTAAACTAACTTGTTCATTTTCTCTATTAATACTTACCGGTCTCACTCGAACTCGGCACAGCACCACTCTACTCGTGGCAGAGCCATGTTCCGGAACAGGAAATTTATAACCTTACACCTTATATTTTTTAATATTTTGAACTTTTTAAATTTAATGAATAAAAATTGGAGATCCGTATTTAACATTCCTAACATATTTTTGATGGAAGAAGTCTCTGTATTTTACCCGAATAAAAATATATATAATTTTATTTATGTTATTATATTTTTTACCTAACGTAATTAATTTTAAAAAATTAAAATATTATTTTTTTAATTGTTAATTTTTAAATAATATTGTCCTGCACCCTTGATTTAGGGTTTTAGTTCCACCCTAACTCTACGAGTCTACTTTGTATTCTAGTACTTTCTATCATGTTTGAAACAATCATACTACAAGACTTTGGCTCTCTTTTTTCTCCATGGATGAAGACTAGAGCTCTCTTTTTCATTTCTGTTCCGTGGGCATTTCGTTAAAAAGATGAGAGCTTTGAGGGGGTGCACTGATGGACCTGGGTTCAAAATTATTGATTTGGTTTAGGCCACCATTCCAATGGATTGAAAATTAGACATTGAAAGCTAAACACACATTTTGCAATTGAGTGGTGGGGGCATTTGCCCATCCTGAAAGCTACAAAGGTTTGTCATCTTTGTTTACCACTCAGGCTTCCCTTCAAAGGCTAGAAGGAAGAGTAAATCCAACCTCTTTTCTACTAACCAGTTATCGCTTGATAGCTAACGTAAAATCTAAGAGAAATAAGCACTATGACGAAAGTCAACGCAATCCTGCAAAATTTTGGACATACAACCAGCCTGGCATAAGTAAATGGCTGCTCAGAACAATTAAAATGTAATATATATATATATATATATATGTAATCCTAATGGGATTATATCAAATTATCTATTGGCCAAACTGAAAGTGTTGCTAGCAAAATCCAAGCTTCAGATTAAGTGTGTGAATATTAAACCTATGAGAAAACTCAGACCCAAAACTCATCATCAACAAGAAAGTAGTAGAAAAATGGAAGCCCACGTTGAATAAATGGAGCTCTCCTTGAAGCACACAGAGTTGGAAAGAGTAACTGAGCTTATCAACATTCCCTAAACTGGCTCTTCCTCTCTAGGTGTTGTTCAGAGTCACGTTCTCATATTATTTGCTGTGAAAGGAAAGCTTTTATTTAAGGCTAGCAAGTAGTCCCACACTGGGAAGTCATCACGCGAGCAGAGCGTTGAGCAGCTATAAAAGCCGAGGAAACCCACGGCACAAAGCATACCTTTCTCGGCCTTTTGGCTAAGATCAAGTGTAGTATCTGTTCTTATCAGTTTAATATCTGATACGTGGGCCATCGGCTCACATGATATTAAATTACTTTTTTTACGGGGAGGGTCCGCTACAGTTGCTTGCTGCTGGGATCTTCACGCGTCGCCCATGCGTTGCACTGCTGCACGGGCCTGGCGCACCCCACCCAAATCTTAGTCCAAGTGTTGTGTCGTTTGTATCTGCCCAATCTGGAGGCCTGCTTTCTTAGCCCGACAAAATTCTCAATTGAAATCAGAAGAGCATAGTTTGCTTTGACATTGCATGCATATTGTTTCGGCCCAAATAAAAATACACTGAGCAAGGATCCCGGCTTGATTTTTAAATTTCCGTTGAATTGAAAAATTAGATTTCATTTGAAATATTGAACTTAATGTTTTAAAAATGTTTTGTTTCTAAAAGTGATCATTTATATTCTTGAAAGTTGCAAAATAAATAATCGTGGTACTATGAGAACAGATCATAAATTTAGAACGATGTTACTTATTTTCATGTTGAATCCTTACGTGTGCCAATAAAACCAAAATCTGGCTAGCTTTTCATTTTCTGGAATGTTTGATCTTGCATTTTTCTTGTGTTGGTTCCTACCAATCTTATTTAAAACAGGATTAGTACTAAGCATTTTGTGATGTTGGAGGTAGTGACACTGCCAATCATAATCCCACTAAAGAGTTTAAAATGGGGACGACAAAGTACTGCGTCTGTGAGGCGGCGCCACTCCATTAATCAGAATAATTATTAGTACACTTATAAACCATATCCCATTTCTCCCACAAATCCCAATTCTCCACTTTCTATTTTTCACCATCTTTCGTCCACAGAAATTCTTTTATATATTTATCACATAAATCACCGACATTTTAAGTTACCAAAACTTGTGGATTTCTCTCTCATCTAACATTGATTTAAAATTGGTGAGTGATTTATTTTAATATGAATGTCTCAATTGTAATTGTTACTTTTCATCAATATTTAAAAATTATCAAAATATTTTTAAAAAAAATAAAAACTTTCATGGTTAATCAGGATACTTTTCATGTATGTTGTCACTTTTAAAAATTTAAAATTTTATACTTTTTTACTATCACATGATAAAATTTTTGACATTCGTTTCGATTAAATTGATTAATTATTATATTATGCTACATAAAATATTCATCGAGTGAATACCTTTATACCACTTAGCAAATCCCTGCACAAACATAACCGCGCACATGTAGCCCACTAGCTAGTGCCTCCATATTTCCTTGCTTTTAGACGCGTGCCGACCTCTATTTTTTTCAATAAAGCAAATATTTTCTTTTACAAGTTTGTATCTTCCAATTTTGCATCATTATTATTATAATTATAAACTATACAATAGCTCCATCATCTTCATCCTTTCTTATGACGAAATACTTCAAAATGTTAAAGACTATATTGTTTGCATAACAATTGTGAGCTAACTTACTCTTCAATCGCACTAATTTTTCAAATAAAAACAACAGTTTTAAGGGTTAATCGGGGAGATCATCATACTAGCTACATGACAAAAAAAATGATTGGAATTATATCTCAATTTGGAACAGAAGACATAAATCTCTAAAGATTAACTCAAAGCGTATTTTCCCACTTAAGGGCACTATACTTTCTTCACTATTATTCAATTACCAACCGCACAACCTTTAATTCTCAAGTCTCGACTATAAATAGCATGCACCTGAACGTCCTTCTCTACAAATTAAAATCCTCTCATAGCCTCTGATACATAGCATATAGAAAGTGCCACTTCGATCCTTTTAGTTAAAAGCTGCATGTTGCTTCCCCATCAATGGCTGCTATAAGGAATCTAGCCCTTACAGCTTTGATCGTTGCGTTCAACATTGCTGTTGTGTGTGAAAGCAGAGTGGCGAGGAAGGATCTGGGGTTGGACCTCGGTGGGGTGGGTATTGGCGTGGGTGCTGGCATCGGTATAGGGCTCGGCGGCGGCGGCTCTGGTGCTGGTGCAGGGTCTGGCTCGGGTTCGGGGTCTGGGTCTAGCTCCAGCTCAAGTTCGGGCTCATATTCAAGTTCAGGGTCTGGTGGCGGAACGTCCGGGGCAGGTTCAGAGGCAGGCTCACACACCGGATCTCGTGCGGGATCAGGATCTGGGTCGTCTGGAGCAGGTTCGGAGGCCGGGTCATACGCCGGATCTCATGCCGGGTCAAGGTCGAACGGAGGAGGAGGAGGAGGTGGTGAAGGTGGTGGATACGGCGGAGGCTATGGAGGTGGAAACGGAAAGTGAAAGATTAATATAGTTAACAAGGAAAGCTTGTGATGGATGTTTGAATAAGTGATGATGCATTGATGAATATGGATGGATTTTCAAAAGATCATTTCATGCATGTGTGAGTCATGTTGGTTGTTAATTGGATTGTATGTGTTAGTCATGTGTGCTTTAATTATTGTTACTACATAATCAAGTAATAGTTGGATGAATGATAAATGTGGGAATGAGTCATATTGCATGCATGCTGTCTTGTCTCACTTTTCTGGGAAGAAGCTATACATTACAACTAACTAACTTGTATATGTGTGTGTGACAGGATTATATATAGGTAGGTTTTTATTTTTATGGATGAAATTGATAGCCATACGATCGAGAGTGATCTGATGAGAGCTCTACGATACGCTGCGAGGATTAAAATTAAAGATTACAATAAAAAGAGAAATCGTGTGGGAGTGAAAGTAAATGAATAAGAGCAGAAATTAAATAAAATAGAAAGGTTCAAATGGACTTGATTTCTTTCCCACATATCTATATTGATATATTCACAACGCCTCCGTTGTATTGTAAAATTTAAACCATTTAGATCAAATCTTAACATGTCTTATCAAATTTAAATATCAAATAATCTCAATTTGCAGTGTTTCTTTGACTATGTGGGTGGAGATGGGAGGGAGGGAGATAAGGTGGAAGCATAGTAGTGAGAAAGTGGTGAGACCTGCAGCCTGCAGGATTGTTTCCCCACGCGTGACTGCTTGTTTTATTAGTGAGACGCCTTCAAAGCTGAAGCCTGAAGCCGAACACATGCAAAAACAGAATGACGATACACAACAAATCCAACATTGCCCAACAAAAAAATCTAAGCAAAGTGATCTAAACAAATCCAACATTGCAAATATGCATTTTTTTAGGTGTTGGATGTTAAAAAATATTGAATATTTTTAGTGTTTTGATATGTAATTAATGTGTTTTTTAAAAAGTGTTCCTAATAAATAGATCACTTTATATTTATTTTAAAGTAAAATATCTTATTAAATAGTGATAAATATAAAAAGATAGTATTAGTTTGAAAATAATTAACCAGCTTATTAAGATGACATTTAGTTAAAAACATCATACATTTTTAAGTGAGGGAATATAAATTTTATTTAATGAAAATTAAAAAAAACATGATGCTATATATAAAGAGAGTCTTTTATGTTATTCTAATGATGTCTTTATGTATTGTTTTAGATATTTAATTTTATTAACTCATATAAAAAATATAATTATATATATAATTATTTTTATAAAAATATAAATATTTATTTCAAGTATAAATTATGCCCCCGTTGATTTGTTTTTCTGTGAGTCCGTCACTGGTTTTAATGGTTAATCTGGGAGATCATCATACTAGCTACATGACAAAAAAAAGATTGGAATATTGACATCTCAATTTGGAATAGAAGACATAAATTTCTAAAGATCAACTCAAGTCGTATTTTGCCACTTAAGAGCACTATACTTTCTTCACTATTATTCAATTACCAACCGCACAACCTTTAATTCTCAAGTCTTCGACTCTAAATAGCATGCATCTGAACGTGCCTCTACAAATTAAAATCCTCTCATAGCCTCCGATATATAGCATATAGAAAGAGCCACTTCGTTTTAATTAAAAGCTACATATTGCTTCCCCTTCAATGGATGCTATAAGGAATCTAACCCTTATAGCTTTGATCGCTGCGTTCAATATTGCTGTTGTGTGTGAAAGCAGAGTGGCGAGGAAGGATCTGGGGTTGGACCTCGGTGGGGTGGGTATTGGCGTGGGTGCTGGCATCGGTGTAGGGCTCGGCGGCGGCGGCTCTGGTGCTGGTGCAGGGTCTGGCTCGGGTTCGGGGTCTGGGTCTAGCTCCAGCTCAAGTTCGGGCTCATATTCAAGTTCAGGGTCTGGTGGCGGATCGTCCGGGGCAGGTTCAGAGGCAGGCTCACACGCCGGATCTCGTGCGGGATCAGGATCTGGGTCGTCTGGAGCAGGTTCGGAGGCCGGTCATACGCCGGATCTCATGCCGGGTCAAGGTCGAACGGAGGAGGAGGAGGTGGTGAAGGTGGTGGATACGGCGGAGGCTATGGAGGTGGAAACGGAAAGTGAAGGATTAATATAGTTAACAAGGAAGCTTGTGATGGAGGTTTGAATAAGTGATGATGGATTCATGAATATGGATGGATTTTCAAAAGATCATTTCATGCATGTGTGAGCCATGTTGGTTGTTAATTGGATTGTATGTGTTAGCATGAATGTAATGAATGTTGTAGTAGTGTGCTTTAATTATTGTTACTACATAATCAAGTAATTGTTGGATGAATGATAAATGTGGAAGTGAGTCATATTGCATGCATGCATGCTGTCTTGTCTCACTTTTCTGGGAAGAAGCTATATATTTACAATTAATTAACGTGTAGACGTGTTTGTGACAGGATTATATATAGGTAGGTTTTTAGTTTTATGAACGAAATTGATAACCATACGATCGATCGAGAGTGATCTGATGAGAGCTCCACGATACGCTGCGAGGATTAAAATTAAAGATTACAATGAGAAGAGAAATCGTGTGGGAATGAAAGTAAATGAATAAGAGCAGAAATTAAATAAGAAGCAAAGGTTCAAATGGACTTGATTTCTTTCTACTATATCTGTATTCACAGCGCCTCTGCTATATTATAAATTTAAACCGTTTAGATCAAATCTTAACATCTTATCAAATTTAAATATTAAATAATCTAAATTTGCAGTGTTGCTTTCACTCTGTGGGTGGAGATGGAGGGAGATAAGGTGGAAAAGCATAATAATGAGAAAGTGGTGAGACCTGCAGCGCGCAGGATTGTTTCCCCACGCATGACTGCTTGGTTTGTTAGTGAGACGCCTTCCAAGCTGAAGCCTGAGGCCACGTGCCTATATATATATATATATAATCATGTGCTTGCTTCAAATAGTAATTAGTTAGATAGTTAATTCAATTTATCTTTTTTTTCGTAGAAGGGATTGGCTCTATATGACATAACTAAAGATAACTAAAATGGATGAAAATTGTAGTTTGACCCAAGATCCAAAACTGCAAGATAGAAAAGAATACACCAATCCTAAAATGTTCTATTATATTCCATCAATACATTAAAAAGATTATACGATGTATCGGTTGTGAAAGTAAGCTAATATTTCTATTAGCAACTAGGGAGTTTTCAAGTCCATCCAAATACCTAAAAGTCGAGTTTGACTTCTTAGAATGCAGCCATGATTAAATTATCTATGAAATGTATAACCTTTAAATAACTCTTAAGCTACTAACTAAATTAGTTTAGGTTAAACACCTTGAATACTGAAATGAAAGAAAGGGGAAAAAAAGGTTTTCTCATCCATTCTCTCTTCCAAGACCTTGTTAGGTGACATGCTTCCATATATTATCACTCTTTCCCTCTAGACTCTTCCATCAAATACATCCCACCCTCTCACTTGTTTCAATCTCTCTTTGATTTAGGGAGAAAATTTGGATTGTACAAATTAATTTGAATAGTCTAGATTTATTAATTTTTTTATAAATTTTTATTTGGTAATACAAATCTAGACTATCCAGAATGGTGATGAGATTCATTAAAAATATTAAAATTTTTATGATTTTATAAATATTTTATTTTAACAAATAAAAAATAAAAAAAATTAAAACATTAAATTTGGACAATTTAAATTTCCTTCCTAAATCAGAGGAGCTACATACAACAGCCTTGCGGAGGAGAAAGGCCCACGACCTTATAGGCCCATCCATTGCCCTTTTTTAACTTATCTGCGATCATTATCATCGTTCATCGTTACATTCAAAAGTTTATAAGGTCAATCACATATAATATGAGCATCTTTTAAATAAATTTTTTAATCCCAAATATAAAAAAATAAATGAGTAAATTATTTTTAAATTTATATTTAGTAACATTATAGATCTTAAATTTATTTGTCATGTAAATTATTTCCTTAATTTTTAAAAATGGTATAATCTAACTTCTATCATTAATAAAAATTAAATTAAATTTAACAATTAGTTGACAAAAAATATAAAAAATTGCCTCAAAAATTATCAAAAAAATTACAATAAATGATTAAAAATTACAAACAAGAACCTAAAAAATTGATCTTTTTTTGTAATTTTGAAATTTTTTTTATCATTTTATGTTCAACTAATTATTAAAGTAACTTTTTGGCAAAAAAAAATATTAGAGTTAACTTTTGTTAATAATAAAAATCAGATTGTACCATTTTTAAAAGTTAAAATAATAATTTATATATAAATAAATTTAAGATCTATGATGTTATCGGACTCAAAGTTTAAGAGATGATTTGCTCAATGACCCAATATAAAACACATGAAGATTTATTTATTATTATTTTATAATTTTATTTCTGTTATAAATTTAATTTTATAGCCTATTGTATACCGTGTCTCTTTTCATATTTTTAATAGGGTAAAGTTAAAAAAATTATTTTAAAATATATTTAATGAGTTAACCTTTTTTTTTTTAAGTTTCGGTGGAACAGTTGAAAGGGTTCTTAAAATAAAGATAGGGAAAAGTCAAATTTTGACAATTATCAATGGGCAATGGGAATTTAAAATTTAAAAATTAATAAGAAATGGAAAAGAAAGATACAAATAAAGATATTAATACGATGTGGGGATACTTGGGTAATCAATGTGTGTGTGATGAAGAGAACATTGAAATCGTTTGGCTTGAGTGAGATTTTATATTATATTTACAAATATGAGTTAAAAACAAAATTAGAAAATAAAAGGAGAGAAGATATGTATATCAATTAAATAAAGAAATTGAACAGTATCCCCACCCAAAGGGTCAAGGAGTGTTCATCTGGATCTCACTTAACTCGGCTAGGTCTTAGATGGTCAATATAACTCATGGGCTCAAATGGCATAGTTTGTCCGGGCTTGTGGGCCATGAATTGCTCTCATTCTTAAAAATGTGAAGATTTCATTAAAAAAAAATCATTAATGTGACTTATTAATATATCAGGCTCAAAATAATTCAAAACATTACTGCAAGATTTTAGATTTAAATTGAAATAAAATTGCAAAGTAAAATGACCAAGATATTATCTTCAATTAAATTGAATAAGAAGTATAATAAATTTAACAAGTAATAACAGAAAATTAACACATAATATTACGCAAATAACAAGTAACTTGAGTGATATTGATTACATGTT